TATCGGGGAAACTAAACAGCCACTGGCCAAAAGGATGGCCCAGCACAGAAGATCAACATCATCAGGCCAGGACTCTGCGGTCTACACTCATCTCCAGGCCAGCGGTCACTCTTTCAGGAGTCTCTCTCTCTCTCAGGAGACTCTTTCCAGCGGTCACTCTTTCAGGGATGAAGATGTTCACATCTGGAGAGGAACGATGGTTTGAGAGAGGAGTAAAGGAGGCCATCTTTGTGAAAAGAAACCGTCCATCATTAAACAAGGGTGGAGGCCTCCGGGTTCAACTGTCCCCCTCTTACAATGCTGTGATTGCTAGTATCAATCAACCCCCTGTGAACAGTAAACAGCCATCAGTGTGCTAATGATCCATTGTTAGGCTGATGGTCCTTCTTGAGCATGTGATCAGCTGGTTTTGGTTGTCAGCAGCAAACTGGTTGATCCACTCTGAGAAGGTGCTATTTAAGAGACTGAGCTGAATACAGCTCCTCAGACTGAGGAAGTCTTTTGAATAAAAGACGAAACGTTTCAACATTTTTTGTTGTTTTGCCTTGTTTTGTTTTTTGAATGTCCAGAGGACCAGATTTAACTTTTTTGAATATTTATAGATGTTGCTAGACAATCCATCATAGCTTTTATCAGGCCCTGCTATTTTCCTATTCTTTAAGGCCTTCCGGATCTCAGATTTACTGGGTTTTTCACAGGTTTTTATTTTATTTATTATTATTACTTATTTATTTATTTTCACAGGTTATTATTTTACATTTTATCAGACGGTGGAAAATCTGGTGGATGATCCGGTGCCGGTCAATTTCGTAGCTCACCAAAGTGTTGCGCCCACCGTTTTGCTCCAAGTTGCTCCTCCGCTGTTAAGGGTTTCCCCTGCATCTTCTTGACTGTCTTTGCAATGGGCTTATATTTTCCTGCCAATGTCCGTGCCTCAGAACGTACACTTTTACACGCAAATAAATATTGCTGATTAATTTCTGTGCCTAAATCCTTTTCAGATGGAGTCCCATCAGCACGCTGGATAGTGAACTTTGACCTGGACTTCACAGATGGACTGGTGCTCGCTGTTCTGCTTGCTGCCTACTGCCCGTATCTGGTCTGTCTTTGTACCGTTTGTGGGTCTCAGTTTTAAACGGGAGGTTAGGGTGGTGGTGCAGCCTGCTGTGAGTGGTGATTGGTGAAGCTTGCAGGAGGAGCTCTGATTGATGGGATATACTTCTTCTTGATAACTACAGATAAAAAGCCACTTCCAGAGGATTTACACCACAGTTAGCAGTCGGGAACACATCATTCACAACAATATCATCGTGGCTCAGGCTTTGACTACACTCGGAGTCAACATGGACATACAGGTAAATACTAGAGGCATATCCACAAAGATTACAATTCCTGCTAACAAATATGAAACCACCATTTTTTTGGAGGATGTTGCATCAGTGGTATAGAATGTTTTTTTTTAACATGATAAACCTCTTTATAGATGAGGTCAAGAGGTTAAATGAATAGTATGTTTATACTGATAAGGTTCTTACCAGTGATAAGACTATGTCACGTTGTCTTTCAATATAAACTCAGTGTAAAATGTTTAAATCTACTCGTCATGGGTATGAACTTCGTATTTTCAATAATTTTCTTGAATCCGTCGAAGGCGGGACGTATTACGTTATAGTCTCTGTGTTTGGAAACGCTCTCTTGTCCCGCCAACAACTTTTGATCCATAATTTACTGAATCTTGATACACATTCATACCATCACTAGACAGTGTGTCACATAATCTTTTCATCGCCCCAGCTCTAAGATCAAGGTGACAAATCAAGGTCAACGTTGATACATGGTCTCGGTCCATAGGGATGTAAAACAGGCTTCAATGGACGGGTACACTGGTTTCCAGTTCGTGGCAGGCCTTGGTGGTTTCTGAGTATGTAAACCTCTGACCAGATCTGTATTTTATTGTGTTTTGTATTCAGCTTCCAGATCTGTCTGATTCCAACCCGGTGCAGATGTTAGTTCTGTGTGTTCACCTGTATGAGATGCTGCCTCACTACCTGCCCTCACAAACCATTACTCTGTCAGGAGGCCTCCACAGTACTGTCAGCAAGCAGGTACAGTCAAACACACACACTGTGCTCACTTTGGTTTAAAGACGTCTTCTTATGCGCCTGTCGAAAGACGGAAATAAAATGGTATAAGCTCCGCCCATCCATACCTACGTCTTGAATACTTTCTCTTGCTCCGCCCATAAATTCTGATTCAGTCAAGACAATTTAATGAAACTTCTTACACGTATGCATCATCACTAGGTGAAATGTCACTTGTAATTTTCATCACCCCAGCTCCAAGGTCAAAGTCACAAATCAAGGTCAAAGTTAAAACAAGATCTTAGCTTGTCTGAACCACAACTTTTGATCCGCTCAACATAATTTATCAAAACTTGACACACATTTGTTCCATCACAAACAGTATGTCGTGTATTCTTTACATCATGCCGGCTTCAAGGTCAAGATCATAAGGTCAAAGGTCATACAAGCTCTTAGCTTGTCTATGCAATTGCTATAGATTGCCTTATAATAATTTGCCAATTGGCGTAAAATGAGACACTAAATGAGACAATAAAGAGAACGAGAAAGACTTGTACCAGTTGGCAAGACAGAGGGATCAGGCTGGAAAGGATGTGCAGCAGGTTAGGGCGTAAAATGTGCTGTATGCCATACTCTTGTTTATTTTTTTAAACCAGGTGAGTATAACTGCAAAGACGAGATCTCTTTTTCAAGTAATCCCTACAAGACACAGACATGACCAGTGAAACTAATGAGCTCTGAGGAGACTAAAAATTATTTTGAATATTAAACTGTTTGTCAAATAACACAGAAACATGTTGTCATGGGGACTGGACCCAGACACACAATAACAGGATTACAAACAAATAGAAATATTAGGTAATTACACACGTTATCACTTTAAAGAACTGTGGTCCTGTAACCCTGAGGCCTAACTTTAAAGAGGTTAGAGGCCCAAGTTTTGTCAGGAAGGCCGTTCAGCGTAAAACAATCTGTCGTGCCAGTTTGCTCGCTGTGGTGATTCTGCACAAGCGAAGCGTTATCAGTTTGTTACGTTTAAAGCTTGCATTGTTTTTCGTCTTCAGCATGTCTCTGTGTTTTCAGTTGTGCTTGCCGTTTTTTATTACCAGACATCAGTTTGTTGTTTTGTGTGATCCGCAGGTGCATCTGAAAAACCCATCGTCAAAGCCTGTCAAATATCAGGCTTCCATTTTAGGGGAGGATGCTCATTTCTTCTCCTTTCCTAACGGATCTATTGTCAACATTCCACCAAAGTATGTCTTAATTTTACAATTTAGCACTTCATGTTTGACAGATGAACAACTCGTGTGCTTTAAAAACTTCAAATATGTAAAAGTTATATTTCGTGAAAAATCTGCATATGTACGGTATTATAATAACCTTTAAATATGTTTGATTTTTAAAGTTAAAGTGCAGCCAACCTAGAATGAGCTTAAAATTAGAATATTTAAATGCACATTAGAAGACGTTAAAAATATTGAATTCAACTGAGTCAAAGTCAAATATCACCACACACAAAAAGGCAGATAAATATAAACAGACAGACATTATTTTGGTGATCTGAGCTGGTGAGCTAGCAGCGTTAGCTAAGGAGTGCTAACACTGTTCTCAACAATCAGAAATCTGCCCTTACATACACCAGAATAACTACAATAATAATGCAGCTACTGCCATAATGGTAACTGCACACCTGTGTCTCTCGCGCCCCGACTTCCAGGTTAATAAAAAAAACAAGAAGCAGATAAAAGACAACTTAACAAGTGGTATTCCAATGCCCCCCTTGCTGGGGGATTTGAATAGTAAATGTTGGTAGTTTTTTGAGGCAGTTCAGAGTGACAAGTCTTGGTGAGCGGAAGAAGAAATTTTATCCATCACCAGGTGCAATGTCGGAGCCAAGGGGTGGCCAAAGGTGGCTTTGGTCTTCATACCAAAGATTAAGCTCGGCCACCCCAGTCATTTAATAAAATTATACTTTTAAGCAATATTAAAACCAGAAAGCAAATTTTCCTCAAATGATTGGGGTGGCCGGTTTACATATCTATGGTGGTGGCCATCTTGAATTTTGATGTGGTAACTCAATTTCTTATAGCAACCTTTCTTACACCTAGATGCAGCCACATGCCAAAATGGATGCTGGTACCACTTATTTTTAAAGGTTCTCTAGCTGAAATGATGAGCTAGATGGATGAATAGATCTAGAATATGTCCATGTCACCTCTTCACTCCACGACTACGGACAAAATGAGGCTTCACTTCCAGTTTTAAAGGGAAAATTCTGAGATCTGATTCAGTGGAAGTCGCCGAGTTTGAATTTACACTCTCAGCATTCTTGGACGGTTTGAGAGAAAACCATAAGCCCTATAGCAAACTTTAGACAACCTGGGCGAATCACATAAATACTTGTGATGTTACGTACAAACTATAAGGAGATGGGACGTAGAGCAAAGAGGGACATAGCTAAGGCAAAGCAAAAGGCATATGGGAGGCTGGACACTAAGGACGGTGAGAAGGACTTGTACCATGGCGAGACAGAGGGATCAGGCTGGAAAGGATGTGCAGCAGGTTAGGCTTGTTAAAGATAGGAATTGTAATGTTCTAACAAGTTAGGAGAGTGTGACGGGAAGATGGAAGGAGTACTTTGTGGAGCTAATGAATTAAGAGAATGAAAAAGAAAGAAGAGTAGAGGTCATAGAAACTGTGAAAGAGGAAGTGGGAAAGATTAGTGAAGGTGAATTCTGGAAAGCTCTGAAAAGAATGAAGAAGGGGAAGGCAGTAGGACCTGATGACATATCGGTGGAGGTTTGGAAATGTCTTGGAGAGGTGGCAGTGAGGTTTTTGACTCAAACATTCAATGGTATATTCCAGGGTGAGAAAATGCCTGAGGAATGAAGAAGAAGTGTGCTGGTGCCCATTTTTAAGAACAAGGGTGATGTACAGAGTTGTAGCAACTACAGGGGAATTAAGTTGATGAGTCACACAATGAAGATCTGGGAGAGAGTTAGCTAAAGTTAAAGTTAAGCTAAACTTAGACGAGAGGTGACCATCTGTGAGCAGCAGTCTGGTTTCATGCCAAGAAAGAGTACCACAGATGCCATCTTTGCTTTGAGGATGCTGATGGAGAAGTACAGAGAGGGTCAGAAAGAACTCCATTATGTCTTTGTGGATTTAGAAAAAGCATATGTCAGGGTGCTGAGGGGGGAGGTGTGTTATTGCATGAGGAAATCTGGAGTGGCAGAGAAGTATGTTAGACTGGTACAGGATATGTATGAGGACAGCAGGACAGTGGTGAGATGGGCTGTAGGAGTGACAGATAGCTTCAAGATGGAGGTGGGAATGCATCAAGGATCGGCTCTGAGCCCCTTCTTGTTTGCTCTGCTGATGGACCGACTAACAGATGAGATCAGACAGGAATCCCCATGGACTATGATGTTTGCAGATGACACTGTGATCTGTGGTAAGAACAGGGAATAGGTGGAAGAGAACTTGGAGAGGTGGAGGTATGCACTTGAAAGAAGAGGAATGAAAGTCAGTTGTAGTAAGACAGAGTGCATGTGTGAATGAGAGGGAGGTCGGTGGAACAATAAGGTTACAATAAGCAGAGGTCACAAAGGTGCAGGACTTCAAGTACTTGGGTTCCACTGTCCAGGACACCAGGGAGTGTGGTAAAGAGGTGAAGAAGAGAGTCCAGGCAGGATGGAGTGGATGGAGAAAAGTTTCAGGAGTGATTTGTGACAAAAGGGTGTCAGCAAAGGTCAAAGGAAAAGTTTACAAGACAGTGGTGAGACCAGCTATGTTGTATGGTCTGGAGACGGAGACATTGAAAAAAAGACAGGAGAAAGAAATGGAAGTGGCAGAAATGAAGATGTTGAGGTTCTCCTTAGGAGTGACAAGGATGGATAAGATTAGGAATGAGATCATCAGAGGTGCAGCACAGGTTGCACAACTGGGAGATAAAGTTAGAGACTGAGATGGTTTGGACATGTCCAGAGGAGGGACAGTGGGTATATTGGTAGAAGGATGTTAGAAATGCAGCTGCCAGGAAATAGACAAAGAGGAGATATATGGATGCAGTTAGAGAGGACATGGAGGTAGTTGGAGTGAGAACAGGGTGAGATGGAGGAGGATGACTCACTGTGGAGACCCCTGAAAAGGGAAACGCCGAAAGGAGTTCTACGTATAAACTATAAGAAATGTAAACATATTTTAAAGTTTATACATTATAGAGTGTGACATCACACTAAGTTGAAGACTTTTTGACAAAATTGCCAAAGTCATCAAAGCTGAACTGGGATTGTGTAAAACCCATTAAAGATGGCAAAATGACTGTTCAGTCATGTCAAGTCTATCGAACAAAAGTGTTTCTGCTCAACCTTCTGTTTAACTTTGGACGATGTTTCTACTGGACTGTCTGTCAGAGCACCAGTAGGTTTTCTAACTCACTTTCTCACTTGATGTATTTTGTTTGGATATTTCCACAACAGCTACAGATGAGTAATCAGCATTCGTTAATGGTCAGGCCTTGGCTCTCAATTAAGAAATGTCTTGCATGCTTTTAAATTTTGTATCAGCAACCTTGAAGCATCTTGTATTATAAGTAAATGTTGCCTTTTCATTTAAACTTCGAAAATAACTTGTTTTGGCCTGAGCTGTACTTACTAAATTATAATGAATTCTCTCAAATTATTCATCTCAGAGTCCCACGTTTTGCATAAGATTGTACTCTCGCTCATTAAAACGTATCAGTTTTCCTCTTGAGGCTTCTTCTTAAAAATAACCCGCGTCCCATTTTTGAAGCCCCAGTATTCTTTGAAAAAAAAAAAAACATGCTGTTTCAAACTCAGCTGTGCAAAAACACTGGACCAAACTGCTGCTGATTCATCTCTTTCCTAACCTGAAAACTAATGTGTCGACTCAAACTAAAAACACATCTATAAAAATGGATGTTTTGCCTCTGGAATGCAAACTTCATAGATATTATTGCTGCTGTTTTCACAGGTCTAACACTGTACTGACTGTACGCGTCAGCTGCTTCTTTCTGCAGACTATGAAAGCAGTTCTCCTGCTCAGCTCCACTTCGGGCCTTCACTGTGCCACGCTCACTTTCAATTTAAAGACACACATCAGCCACATCACACAGACAGTAAGTAAAACAACCACAGGGATGATATGACTTTCAAACCTCCTGTAACCTTTACTCACTGATTTTACAACAGTCATGTCTCCACACATCATGTTTCTTTCAAAAGACTAGCAGTGACACTTTACAGTGCAGCTGTGAAAAGGTAAAGCTCACTCATTGTGTTTGGTTTTTTTTTTTTAGAACATTGTGCAGCACGGTTCTCCATGTTACCAACTGGGAGTGATTAAAGTGCCAGTAATGAACAAATTCTCCAAAGATGCTAATTTCAGGTAGGTAAAACAAGAAGAGCAGTTAAAAATAAATGAATACATTTAACTTTGACTAGTCGCTCACTGGGGGCAGCACGGTGGTTCAGTTGGTAGAGCTGCCGCCTCTCAGCAGAGCAGGTCGCCCGATCAAATCCAGGCTGGGGGACATTCTGGGTGGAGTTTGCATGTTCTCTCCGTGCATGCTTGGGTTTTCTTCAGGTACTCCGGTTTCCCCCCACAGACCAAAAACATGCATGTTAGTCTGGTAACTCTAAAGTGTTCCTAGGTGTGAGTGAGAGAGTGAATGGTTGTTTGCCTCTGTGTCTCTGTGATGGACTGGAGACCTGTCCGGGGTGTCCCCCACCTCTCACACAGTGACTGCTGGATATGAGCACCAGTGACCCCCGTGACCCAAAAAGGAAAAAGCGGGTAAAGATAATGGATGGATGAATAGATGGATGGATGGTTGGATGGATGGATGGATGGATGAATAGATGGTTGAATGTATGTATGGTTGGATGGATGGATGGATGGATGGATGGATGAATAGATGGTTGAATGTATGTATGGTTGGATGGATGGATGGATGGTTATATGAATGGCTGTATGGTTGGATGTATTCATGTATATACAATATGTATGTATAGTTGAATGAATGGATGGTTGGTTGGATGGATAAATGTATGGATGTATGGTTCGTTGGTTGGATGATATATGGATGGATGGCTGGTTGGATGGATGGATGGATGGGTGGGTGAATGTATATATGTATGGATGGATGAATGAATTGATGGACGGACAGATGAATGATGGGTGAGTAAATGGTTGGATGGATGGTTGGACATATGTATGGTTGGATGGATGGATCAGTGGTTGGATGTATGTATGGTTGGATGTTCATTCACTGGGTTGCGACTGTTGGTAACTCGTCAGTGAACGGCATCCTTGGAGTCTTCAGAACGTTTCAGATCTTCAGCAAGGGTGCTCAATGTCCTCGCATGAGTTGTTGCTAGAATTTTCAACATGCTCCGAATATTTTGAACCAATTTTCTCTCGTCTCTCAAAATGTGTGACCCATCGCGTCAAACCAAGCTCTTGGTCCAAACTGGTCAAAAGGAACAAATCAGATTTTCTAATTTGTGGCTTTTTAAGCTACGACTTGATCGTCCTGATTTAATTTTTTTTATTTTATTTTATTTTTATTTGTTATGTCCAGAGGACCAGATTTAACTTTTCTTTAGATTTTTCTACCTGGATTATTGAAGGATATGACCAATGTTTAATTCCTTGTTTAGTGTGGTGCTGGTGGAGTCTAACTTCAACCCCCTGGAGCCTGAAACGACAGGAAAGACTTTGACTCAACAAGAACCGTCTAATGACAAGTAACACTGCTCACAATTCAACTAACATTAATCATGTTGCTCTTATAAATGCAAGTAGAAGTCAGATATGAGAAGAAAGCACAACAAAACAACAGAAGCATGATACTTTAAAATGAAAAACATTACTAACACAAGGGAATTTGCTGTATTAGTTGAACATATGTAAATAGCAATAAAGGTATTAAAACATGTCAGAAAACAGCAGAGGTTTTCTTGCTGTCCTGCATCAAAACCAGGCGCTGATTCTAAAGCAGGGGGGCCTGTGAACTGAAACCCTGCTGTGATGGTCTGCGGCCCCCGCTGAACCCCATCTGCTCACGTCTCTGCCCATCCTGCCATACTCCTGCCTTCATGCGGTGTTCTCCTGACCATGTCATCTGCCCCCTCCTGCCATAGATTCTGACCCTTATGCCATAGTTTCTGTTTCCCTGCTTTGTTTTGCCTATCACCCATCTCTCAGCTCAAGCCTGCTCCTGTCACTCCGTACCACGCCTCCCTTGCTCCTCCACAGCAATCAGTCCTGATTTCATGCACCTGTTATCTGCACTATTTAAGCTCCAGTCATTCACTTCCTTGTTGCCAAATTATTAATCCTTCTATGGTCCCTGATTTTGAAGCCATCATAGTTCCTGTTTCATGCCATAGCCTTGTATCCTTGTCTTGCCTTGACCCTTCGCCTGTACCACGGTTTCTTCGCCTTGCCTGTCCCTCTTTGGATTTGGATTCTTTGCTCTTAACACCAAACGGACCCTGCCTTCCTCCTTTTACGACTTCGCCTCACGGATCATGATTTGGCTCCGGCTTCTGCTCTCAGCTTTCCTGTGCATGACCCCTGCTACGTTTCTCGGACCCTGGATTTGAATTTGCCCCTCACGGTCCACGAACATCTTCAGCCTGCTCCATCGCCGCGACTCCGTCAGGTGACTCCCTTCCTCCAGCTTGTGAGGACCTGTCATCAGTCGATCCGGACTCCTTCATCCAGCAACGAGCAGCCAGAATAAATACAAACTGTTCTTTTGTACTCCTGTGTTTGGCTTACTCTGAATCCTATACCCGAACCTGACACCTGCCCCACCATTATGGTCTTGGAAATTCAAGCAGCCTGCCTATCAAGACCAAAACGTTCTTGAGGGAACAATCGATAAGACGGTACATGATCCCTGAGGAACACCAAAATAATGGGGCAGCTATGTCACTGGTGTAGAACCCATCAAATAAATACGAGTTAAATAAGTCTAAACAAACACAAGTTTGATATTTTGACAGCTTTAGAAAGCCACTGATTTACTCATTTACATGACACGAATGAGTCACAAGCAGCTAATTAGGTTGTTAAGTTACATTATTTGGAACTGTTTAGGTAGGGGTGTTATACACATCCTTAACAATGGCACATCAACACATCAAAACTTTGATTTACAAAGCAAAAAAATATTTTAAAAAGGGAGCAAACTAACTAACTAAACTAACTTTAATTCCTCTCTTTCTGGATGTAAATCATATTTTTTTGGATTATTGTTTCCTCTGGTATCAGATGCTGTTTAGCTGGAAGGATTTTACTGAAACTTTTTTAGTTTTGGACATTTGTTATGATGCGTAACCGTGGCAACAAGGCTGTTTTCTACAACAACAGCAGCTGATTAACATCTCAAAAGCTCAAATAATATCTCAACTATGGCCCCAACTCTCAAATGAGTTGAAAAGGATGTTCTGTGGATGCAGTCTCATCTACCTGCCAGCTGTGCTCGAGTGCCTGACCACTGAGATCCTGGAACTAGCAGGAAACATGGGTCATGACAGCGAAAGGACAGGATCGTCCCTCAGCACCTACAGTTGGCTGTCCACAGCTATGAGGAGCTCAGCAGACTGCTGGGAGGAGTGGCCATCGCTCTGGGAGGAGTTCAGCCCAGCATTCACCCTGCTGATGACACGCAGATTTATTTACCTTTAAAGAAAGCAGATTCCACTTCTCTTCGGTCTCTGTTTCTATGTTTGGAGGATTTGAAGGCATGGATGGCCCAAAATTTCTTGAAATTAAATGAAGACAAGACAGAGGTAGTGATTTTTGGCAGCTCGAATGAAGACTCTCTGCCTGTTGACTGCTCTTTGGCTCAGTATGTCAGGCCAGTTGTTGCAAATTTAGGGGTCAAGATGGATGCTGGTCTTAGGATGGAGTCTCAAATTAAAACAGTTGTAAAGTCAGGCTTTTTTCATTTGAGGCAGCTGGCTAAAGTAAAACCAATTCTTCCCAGACAGCATTTTGAAACAGCAATCCATGCATTTGTGACCACACGGCTAGATTACTGCAATGCACTTTACATAGGTATTAGTGATTCATGTATTTCCCAGCTTCAGAGGGTTCAGAATGCAGCTGCACGACTTTTAACAGGTACACGGAAATTTGACAGTATTTCTCCTGTTTTGGCCTCTTTACATTGGTTGCCGGTGCATTACCGGATTCATTTTAAAATACTTTTATTTGTTTTTAAAGCTTTAAATGGCCATGCCCCTCCATACCTGTCTGAGCTGCTACATTCTTACACACCCTCTCGTTCACTCAGGTCAGCTGACCAGTTGTTTCTGAAGGTCCCGAAGACAAAGCGTAAGCTTAGAGGGGACCGAGCTTTTTCTGTGATAGCTCCCAGGCTCTGGAATGACCTTCCATTGAACATAAGACAGGCCTCTTCAATTGAGGTTTTTAAGTCCCTTCTTAAAACTCATCTTTTTTCTTTGGCCTTTTAGCACAATCTGAGATGTTTTACCTTGTTTTATTGTGTTTGTATTTTATTTTATTATTTTATTCCTGTTTTAAATTTTACCCTTCCATTTTATCATTGTATTGTATTATATAATTGTGTAAAGCACTTTGGTCCTGTTGGGTGCATAAAGTGCTCTATAAATAAAGTTGGTATGGTATGGTATGGTATTCAAGCGGTCCTACAGTCCAGGGGAACTGAGAGGCCAGCCGTGTCTGGGTGGACGGATCGGACGGCATCTGCAGCCAGTTTCTTAGGATCCACTGTGGGATGGACCTTTACAAGAGATCCTTCCTGTCTACAGCCGTCAGTATCTATAACATCTCTTAATGAACTGAGGATAACGAGTTATAACAACAAAATAATTTCCCTTTGGGATTAATAAAGTATTTTAGAATTGAATTGAATTTGAATTGAACAACTGAGCTATGTGAGACGCATTCAATGCTTTTTCTGTTTCTGGTCTAAATTATTCTTCCAACCGAGACGTCTTTGATGCTAAACGTCCCTGAGGCCCAAATCAATGATGATTTGAAGGCTTTGTTGTTAAGCTTAGTCTTATTCAGGTGGTGTAGCCCAATAATCCTGTACCGTAATTAATTGTAATCTTTTTTTAACCATCTTTCAGCATGAAGGGGACCTCAAATATTGTTGATGGCTGGGAGATAGAAGGTAAGATTAAAATTACTCCTAACATAGGTACAGTCACGCAAATACTCACGCGCTCCAGTCTTCATCATTGCGTATTCACCGTATCTCAAACTAAACTATACTTCAAACTGAATGTGTAATTTATGCGTGATTTGTACAAATTTTGTGAACACGTCTGTCCTTCCAGGTCATTGTGTGAGCTGGATAATTAGAAGAATAAGCCAGAGTCAGTCAGAGTCTCTTTATTGTCATTCGCACCACATGTGGTACATGTGGTGGAACAAAATTGTGTACACAGGGTCCCTGTTACATCCATCAATAAAATGTAAAAGAAAAACAGTAATAAGATCTAAGATATAGAAAAACGTTAAATAAAAATACGCTAAATCCTCTTTGAAAGACTTTCTAGCAAATTAAAAATTTAGTGAAGTCCTCCTTGACGGAGATTTCAATGTGGATTGGGGAATACAGAGCCCACTCTGTGATCAATTCAAGAAACTTTACTTGTCACAACCTAACCCAAATCATTGACACCCCCACCAGACTTAACAAGCATTGTCCTGAAAAATCTTCCATTTTAGACCGATCTGTTTAATTTCTAAGCAAATATTTGAATATTTAATGAATCCGCAAATATTCGACCGTTTTAACCAACAGTCCTTCCTGTCGGGCATGATCACTGGAGCAGGTAAGGAAAAAGAAAGGCCAGTATTAGTTTATGTGAGGCATAGATAGGTACAGTTAATGTGGTTCACTCACCTGTACTATATATATATATATTTTTAATTTTCTAAATAAAAAATGTGACTGGAGAGTCGAACTGTTTTAAGACACGTCGCTCAAAGTCTTGTGTGGGACTACACGTTAATGGTTGTCTGAATGTATTTGTTGCTTGGTTGTCGTTTTAATTATGGTACATTTGCTGGTGTGTGCAGATGGTGAGGGCTATGAATTCCTGAGTACAACAAGGAGTGTTAGTCTACAGTCAGGCCAAGAAGACACCCTAAGACTCCTCTACCTGCCCTTCTTCCCAGGGACCAAATACTGCACGGTGCTGCTGACCTGCCCTCAGGTCTGCGTGTGTTTTAAATGAATCCATTTTGTTTGTTGCTCGTTCCTGTTTATACTGATTAATGGAAAATGTTGCAATGTCATGAGAGAAAAAGATCTGTTGGGAAGAGTGGAAACTATTTAGAAAGGATTGTCAGGCAGTACTATTTATTTGAGTAAAGGTGCTAGAACCAAAACCTACCATTCATTTGTATCTCCACCACTTGCAAACCATAAGTTTTGTGCAAAGGAAACTTGTTAGAATTAACATTTTCAAGAACTTTTAACATTGTGCATATGTTTGTACGTTGCCTCTATGTTTCTAGGTAGGAGATATGGTGTGCGTGGTGAGGGCTACAGCAGAATTACCACTTCCTTCTCCGCTCTTTACAAAGCCAAGTTGTGACTCAAATTTTATTGCCAAGAATTCTGGTAAGAAACTTGATGTTTCTTGTGAAATGGTTCAACATCATAGAGCAAACAGTAAAATCACAAGCTGTTGTTTGGGGAGCAGAAGTACTATTCTTTGCATCTTTCCTTCAACTCTCACCCCGTTTTCCAGTTTCTGACAATGAAAACATCCACACAGCTTAATACTGCCACCACCATGCTTCACAGTGGGTATTGTTAAGGATTATAAGAGTCACCACTTATGTTAGAAGCTAGCTTCGAAAATAATAATTGTCTAAAGTCAGCCATAAGTTGCTCACTTGTCCCTGGTGTCATCTGGACATCAAAGGATTCTCTTTCAGGTTGGTTTTCCTAGTGAAAGAGAAACGGTGAGGAAATCTTAGGTCCTGTTTACACCATGCGTCTTTTGAATGAAACCAGATCTTTTCTGCCATGGTTTAGCCATTTGCGTCCACGAAAACGGACTTCATTCTCTCTGAAGCCGAAGGTTTCTGAATCCAGGTCTCATAATGAAGATTTTCGGGGGGGGGGACCCCCAGCAGAGGTGTAAAATTCTCTGTAGGTGTGAAATTGTACATGCGCACTACAGGCAGCTACAGTCTAATGTTTTTTCTCGTACTAATAAAAGTCACAATAAATGGAAGAGGGCAGAGTGGTGTTTGTGCTACTCACCCTTTTTCAGCATGTAGGAGCAAACCAACAACAACATAGGTCCAAATGAACATTCCTGTATTAACCCCCGCAATAGGTGAAAAACCGCAAAGTAGGAACGTTATATTTATTTTAGTATTTCTATATATTTTAAGGCTTTATAAAGTGTTCCCACACTTTTGCAATGCTCTAAACTCTTGAACCTACATAATTTTAACAACTTATGTATATGTACTGCACAGTAGCTATGTACTGCAAAATTTTTTATATGGGTGCTCACCAGCCTTGGTCCAGTTCTGGTCTGGTTCTGATTGGCTCTCTGCAGCTGTTGAGCACCAGACGCTTTTAGAGAGAGCCAGACCTTTGGACAGCCCACACAAAACCACGCAATGGTCCCGATCGAGTCCAAATAATCCAGATGAAAAAAGTCCCGGTGAGCTCCGGAGAAAACGCCGGACTTTCAAGCAACGCCTCCCCGCTCAAGAGGCCTCATGGGCCAGCAAGCAGCACTCAGCTTGACTGATGAAGCTGGAAGTAGTCTTGGTCCAATTCCCGGTCGGTTCTGTACAGCTCTCTGCATCCACCGAGCACCGAAGTCGCTATGAATAGGGACCGAACTTTTTCAGATTGGATCAAACCTTTCCCTCCATTTCAGCAGAAAGCAATGGCCAGAAGCACTGTTGGCTTCTGGGTAATGTAGTTCTTTCGACTGGCAAAACAGTATAGGCTTATTGAGAGAAAACTACAAAATGGCGGCGCCTGTCCGAAGATTTTTTTCTTTTTTAACTTTTTACTGTATCCCGTACCATCCCAATCACGTGAGTAATATTAAAGTTGAGAATCGTGTGTCGTGTACCATCTTACTTTGAAAAACCGCGAAAGAGCGAGTCCACAAAAGTCGAACCACGAAGTAAACAGTGACTACTGTATTCATTTTTTCTGCTGTACAGACTTCCTTAATGTATGTCTTGTTCTACGTTTTCGTTACTACTCTTTTTCATCTGTGTTAGACGCAGGTGTGTCTGTGCTGAGGCTTCACTGTAAGGTCGGAGCAATGCTTCAGGGGGTGCTTCAGGTGCCCCGGGTCAATATGCCATGGGAGAAGGCTCTGGTTGTCTGGGCTCAGCACTGCATGAGCGCAGGCGAACGCAAGAGGCGGCTTCTGACCCACACTTTGGACAGCAGCACTGTGAGGGAGTCCATAGCCACACAGAAGTTTACCAGACAGCAGGTACACACAATCCTGCTTCGGATGATAAATGATTCACTGTTGAACAATTGTTTATGTTGTAAAAACTGTATGTGCTGGATTTTTTTTTTTCTTTTTAATCTTCATTGGCCCAGCTCTTGAGAAATGATGACCAAAGTAATGGGATCGAATATGAAGTGGAGGTTTCGTTGCCACAGTACTTCACACTACCCAGAACTGTTACAGTTCCCGTGAAAAAGGACTCAAACTTGCTACAGGAGAATCCTGCAGGTACCAGTCCTTAACGAGCACATGCAGTGTGTTTACTCCAGTTAGAGGTGGAGAAGTTATTGATGAAACATTAGCTACTTGCGTTTATTACCTGAATGTTATATGGTTCAGTTTTAGACCAGCAGTGTCCAAACATTTTGACACTTTGGCCAAAATTGTCAAGTTGAAAGTACCCGTGGGTCCAAATAAATCAGAACTGTAGCATTGGAAATACATTTATTTTAAAATAAACATTGTTTTAATGGAAGACATTTTAGACAACCCTGGTTTATACTGTTGCTAATAATTATGTTTCATTACACTGAAAAACTCTGCAAAAACCATCAAACTTATCCTGATGCATGCGCAATAATCCAGGTAGAAAAATCCATAAAAGTTGAGTCAGGTCCTCTGGACAGTCAAGAAAAAAAAAACGAAACGTTTCTACAATTTTTTTTTATTTTTTGTTGTTTTTTTAAATGTCCAGAGGACCTGACTAAACATTTTTGGACCATCCAACTTGTAGCATGGTTGTCTTTTGTATAAAGGTGACCTTACATGTATTGATTCTTCCTTCCTGTATTTAAACTCATAGATGGTGGCTGTGTGAATATCCCACTGAGGTTCCAGGTGCACTCTGTGGGGCAGTTTACATCTAAAGTGGTCCTGAGATCCTTTTGTGACACCAGAGTGTTCATGCTGGAAGCTCTGGTCACTTTGCAGGTATTTATACGATAATCAGAATTTAAACTTGTAAATTTGATCAGAAGAAATTTCCTTTCTTCTTGTTTAATGTTGCTTATTTGGTGTTTAATGACATCTTCCTGTATATCATAAGCTCTCAGACATTGGTTTCTCAGACCACACTATTGGTTGGTTCTTTAATTATCTCTCAGATCAGAGGCAGTGTGTTCAATATAACAGTACTTCTTCCAGCTATCTAACTGTCAACAATGGTGGGCCACAAGGCTCAGTCTTAGGACCCACCATCTTCACAATCTACAGTATATTAGTAATGTAGGTCAGATCATTCCTGATGTATGCTTACATTTCTATGCCGACAACAGTAGTTTATTGTGGAGCTTGAAAAGTTGCTTAGGTTTTTCAGCTCTTACAGTCTGCATTCAACATCATCCATTCAGATTTGTTCAGTATCAAACTTGTGCTAAATGCTGACAAAAACAAAGGGATGCTGTTTTCAAACAGGAAGTTGGTCCCCGCAGTCCTTCCATCAATTTTATCCTCAAATGGTGTCCCTATTGAGTTTGTCCATTCCTATAAATATTTGGGTATCTTGGTCGACTCGCATCTCTCCTTTAAGCTCCACGTGGAAAACTTGGTAAAGAAACTGAAAGTTGAACTGGGTTTCTTTTTCAGAAACGGATCCTGTCTAACCCTGAATGCTAGAAAACACCTTGTAACTGTGACTTTCCTTCCCTCCATTGATTACAGTGACATTATCTATATGAACGCTCCTACAACTCCCTGCAGATGTTGGATGCTGTCTATCATGGTGCACTAAGATTCATAACTGGCTGTGATTATCGTACCCACCACTGCACCCTGTATTCACTGGTTAACTGGTCATCATTAATTCACGCAGACTCTCTCACTGGTACATTTTCATCTTTAAATCACTTCTTGGTCTGTTGCCTTCATACATCTCCTCCTACATGTCTCTGTGTGAGTGCAGCTACAGCGTGCGCTCTCAGGACATTATTACCTGCAGTGTTCCCTCAGTGAGGACTGAACTAGGCTAAAGGGCCTTCTCCTACTCCGCTCCTGTTTCCTGGAATATCTTACAAAAAGATCTGAAGCTCTCGACCTTGACCTCTCTAAGTGGCTTTAAACATCCAAGTTCATGGCAAAAACCAATTTAGACGTGTTCCTGTTTTTAGTTTTCTACACCGCCTTATAATCTAGCTGATTTTGCTTCATTTAAAAAAAAACAACCTTTTTCTTTCATTTATTCTTCTCAATTTGTATGCTTTCTTTTATGATCGTCTACTGTTGTCATCATTCTTTTGCTAAAATCAGGTCTCTTGTAAATGAGTCCCTGAGGCTCAATGGGATTAACCTGTTTAAATAAAGGTTGAATGAATGTGGCGTTCCTGGTGTTTCCGTGCTGATCTGTTCTCTGTTGCCTCAGTGAGAAAGAGCACAGAGAACAGAAGATTTCATGTAGAATATATGCTATTGGTTCGCCATGTATTGCACAAGTTTCTGGCGGCAGGATGAAGAATGACTTTGCTAGTCGCTTCTTTTATTTTACTTTGTTAGCAGGTGTTAGCCGTTAGCTGTAAGCGATCGGTTCTGTTATTCTATTTTTTAAGCATGAAAATGTTCTTAAAATTGATTAGTTCTAAGTTCTCGTCGATTTTTGGCTTGGAAACAGAATCCAGGTAGAGAGTGTCAGGATGATGATGGTATTTTTAGGATCTCAAGTGTTTTAAAAATATTTTCCTGCCACAGAGTTGAATCCAACGATCACATTTCTCTCCCCGAGTAATCGGCTTTGAAAAAGGCAAGAACCAAATACCTTGCGTATGATGTTTGTCAGCATATCGGCCGTCACTATTGCAAGTCCCGTAGCAACAGTGATTCCTAAATAACATATTTCTGCTGTTCTTTCATCAGAGCATACCAGAACTACAGTGCTAATTGTATTGTACTACGTTTTGTTTGCCAGACATCCGGGTACTTGCTGACATCACATATTGCGTAGGGAGCTATTTTTAGTAACCCCAACCACAACACTTTGAGGCCTTCTTGCACAAGAGGACCTTTTGGGTACTGCAAGATTACAGTGTATTGTGTTACCAGTGGTGACTGTGGTCCAACTGCTTTTAGATAATTAACAAACTCCAGTGCAGCTGTCAAATTCTTTACCTCTCACATCCCAACTTCCCCAACTCCAACTATCAGTGACAGTTTGAGAAAGTTCATTCTAAACCTCAGCCCTCCCAGATTTAGACTGCTGCCCCTCTGGCTACTCGTTAACCTCCATCCTCTGAGGTCACATTCAGCTCAAGAATGACCACTTATCTAGGTGTTTTAGAGTATCACTTTTTCTGGCGTGTGTTAATCTAAAGCTATCTTGAAGTCTAAGCTTTGTTTAAAGCTTGGCTACTCCACTAAATTGCTCAGAGGGCCACAGTTACTGGAAGCCAAGAGCTCGGGGGCTGGACATCCAGTAGTTACTGTCATTAAGTAAATGTGTTTTATGGTTTCAAATCTAGTTTTATTTAAAAATGAACCCATTGGTGGACCGAACTGAGTTCATCCGTGGGCCTGATTTAGCCCCCGGGCCACCAGTTGAATAGCCCTGCTCTAAAGGCATGGCTTCACCCCCCCACTTCTTTTTTTTGGCAGAGCGCTTCTAGAAAGCACAGCTTACATTTACAAAAATAACACCAGCTGTTTTTGTTTTGTTTTTTATTTAGAAAGCAATACACTTTTACACATTAATGCTATATAGTTTGTTTTACAGGTCATTTATTTAGGATATCAATACATAAAGATAGATCCCTAAAGAAAAGATCCATGGATTTTAGCAGAAAGGTTTTCTTTTCAAAATGCTTTTTCCCCCCTCTTTTTTGAGTGGGTGGGGCTTTAGTAGGAACCACTACTGATGATATGAGGCAAGAGAGAAAGGGGGGGTGAGACGAAAAGTTTGCATTGGCCGGGAATCGAACCCGGGCCTCCCGCGTGGCAGGCGAGAATTCTACCACTGAACCACCAATGCTCGGTGCGGAGCTTACATTTTTCACATTCCACAGATTTTCACCGCTCTGTCCTGCTAGTTTGCTTTGCCAGAGGAACTTGTCTAACACCGCGGTGTAGGCTACGTGATACTGGGGCATACGGAGTATACCCACTGCAAAGTGCCAAATGGTACACATCATTAGGCATGTGTCATGGATACGTTAAAATCTGTCTGTATGCAGCGCTTGTTTATTACATTCACTTATCCATTCTGTACTTACTACTTAATACTTGAACATTTTTTGCTTTGATACGGTTTTATAAATTCTATAACATTTTTAATGTAAAGCCAACTGTTGTACAAAGTTTGTTGGACATTTATTCAAATATTAGCATCAGATAAATTTGGAAATGTCCAATATGCTTAAAAATCAAAAATAAGCTGACAATTACATTGTACTAACCAGTGTACTTTGGTTTCTAAGCACAGTATACCCACTAAAAATGTAGACTACTGGTCTAACATTACCAACCTTTAGTTGCCTGCTTGTTCTTCATAAAATGGATGCACATAATCATCATTTCAAGAACACATTTAGTGTTTTTGCCTTTTCTTTGAGTCACTTTGTTTATTCATGAGCATTGCTTTGTTGCTCACACTGAACACTGTTTTTTATTTTTTTTCATTCAACCTTTGTTTATACAGGTTAGTCCCGTTGAGCTGCGGGGACTCATTTACAACAGAGACCTGAATATATATATTTGGTTTGTGTGTGATTGACGCTCTGCGTTTTGTGCCTTCCGCTGTCAAGACAAGCCGTATTTGCACAATGACTGTGACGTAGAGTTGCGTTCAGGTACAAAAAATCCAATACAAAGTTATTGTATCGCTCAGAAATATGTCCCTCAAATATGTTTCTAGAAGAGCTACAGCCTTTAGTTCAACTTTATTCGTACCCACTGATGTACAACTCACAATACAAGAATTAAACTTTAAAGCAAAGCAAAGCTAAAAAAAAAAAAAAATCAGTAAACAAAAAATAAAACCACACGTCTAAATTGAACAATAAAAGTAGACACCATGAGTGCAAATACATCAAATGATGAAGAAAACCTATAATATAGATGTTTTTTGTATTATCTGGTTCATCAGAGATTTAATGGTGAACTAAAGATTCACATTCACTTCCGGCGAGCTGATGGACGGCAGCTCCCTCATCTTCTCTGCAGTCTTTTATCATCTAAAAACTGACCCGTTTTTCGAACCGGACTAAAGTTGGTCCCCCTTACAACCGGAGTGACCGGCTGCTCCCACCCCACCGGTCACTCTGAACGCACCCAGGTGACCCCTCGAGCTGGGGAGTCGTCGCCCGAAGGTCCGGTGTTTTCTCTCTCTCTCTCTGGACCCCAACAAACTTCTCATCTGGACCTTTGTGGTTCTACTAGGTTCTGACGAGAATCGCCTGGTGGAATTTCAGTCTGGTTTCAGGAAAAAACACAGCACAATGACTGCTTCACTGAAGGTTCTTAATGACATTGTTGAAGCACTGGATGCTAACGATTATTGTGCTGTACTTTTCTTAGACCTGTCTGAAGCTTTTGACACTGTGGATCATAACATCTTGTGTCATAAACTCTCAGAAATCGGTTTCTCAGATCACACCATTTGTTGGTTGTCTAACTATCTCTCAGACGGGAGGCAATGTGTTCAACATAATGGTACTTCCTCTAGTTATTTAACAGTCAACAATGGTGTACCACAAGGTTCAGTCTCAGGACGCACCCTCTTTACAATATACATACGTAATGTTGGTAAAAACATCCCTAATGCATCCATACATTTCTATGCCGATGACACAGTTGTTTATTGTCGAGCTAAAACTGTTGCTAAGGCTTTCCAGCTTTTGAAATCTACATTCAACAACATCCAGACAGATTTGTTCCGCCTCAAACTTGTCCTAAATACCGACAAAACCAAAGGGATGCTTTTTTCAAATGGGAAGTTGGTCCCAGCAGTTCTTCCTCTGATCTCATCCTCAAATGGTGTCCCAATTGAGTTTGTTGATTCCTATAAATATGTGGGTATCTTGGTCGACTCACATCTCTCCTTTAAGCTCCACGTGGAAAACCTAGTAAAGAAACTGAAAGTTAAACTGGGTTTCTTTTTCAGAAACAGATCCTGTCTAACCCTGAATGCTAGAAAAC